CTTTCTACAAGTATTTCACTTCGAATCTACCAATATTTTTGAATCATACTATCGTTCTTAATAGGTTGGTGAAATATTGTGCACATTCATCAAATCTTTCAAGACTTCTTTCTTGCCTTTCCTTGACGAGTTGTCATCATATTTACTACCTATGTGGGTAAGTTATAACCAATGTCATCTTAACCTCTAGCTGTTTTTTCCATTTAAATCTTATTGTTTTCCACATCCAATATTTCTTGCTTGTGTGAAGGCCAAGGAGAAAACACCTCGTGAAAGATGTACATCTATTTGTATCTTTGATGCTCTTATGGAGGAGTGCCCTGAAGCAGCTCTAAAGTAGGTCTATTTGTATGGGTATTTCTCAAATATGGGTTCCAAAATCTGATTGTTACTTCCTGTCAAAATTAGGTACTATGATGTATGTCTTCCTTTAGTTTTGGACGCAAGCAATGATGAAGACCCAGATGTTAGACAGGTTTGTACATCTTACTGGTTGTAATAGATTTAAGTCAAGTTGCATTCGCTACTTGTGCTTACTCTGATGTCATGTTCAGGCTGCTCTTTATGGACTTGGAATTTGGGCGGAATATGGTCGTACTTCTTTCAAACACATTGTTGAAGGTATGACATTGTTGAATGTGATATTGAGACCATTTTCATCATGGATAAGGGGAAAAGAAGTTATATGTTTTTCTTTTGTATCCACTTAATCTTATGACCTGAACCTGCAGAAGCTTTGTCGAGCATCAATGTAGTGATAATGCATAAAAATTCTCTTAAACTTGAGAATGTATGTGCATATGATAATGCTGTTTCTGCACTTGGTAAGATATGCCAGTTTCATGGTGAAAGTATCGACTTAGCCCAGGTATGTCTTTTTATCTGTTGATGCATTTCTTATACCTTCAGCTCATATATGTTTGAGCTGGCATTCCAAAATTTCAGTTATAAATTTTGGGTACTTCATTGCATGCATCAAAAAGTTTAAGTAATGTCATAATGTTTGGATCAGATAATTGTCTTTTCAATATTAGTCTAATAAAATCTAGAAGTCAGTAAGTCAATTGAATCATCCTGAGAAACAATTGCTAACGACCATGGATATAGTCGTGTGATGCTTGTTTTAAGCCTGCATATAGAGATTTACAAGAGTAGTCCACTATGCTTGTAATTTCCCCTAATTCTTATTCCAAGGCATTTGGCAGATTATTCCAGCTTGGTTGAATTGCCTGCCTATAAAAGCTGACTTGGATGACGCCAAACATGTTCATGAACTGTTGTGTTCAATGGTCGAAAGGTACTGGATTGGTTTGCTCTATGCTCATTTACTCTGGATTGGTTTTGCTATCTTAGCATTGGTCATTAAGGCTGTTTACAGGGGTAACAATGAAACTCAGTTCTTAGCAATTAATGCAATTATATTGCTTTTGGAAATTGTTTTTCGTTATGTTGTTGTGAACCACAAAAGAGAATATCAAAATTCACAAATGGCAACATGTTATTAGAAATCTTTTCTGTAGAAGAGATTGTAAATTCTAATAGTTCTTAACAAAAGAATGTATCTGTGTTAAATGAATTCTGTAATTTTAGATTTAGGGAAAACTAAAAAAACATCTGTCTGACGAAATTAGTGAAGCAATATATTAATACTGTAGTAACTAGTTTACAAGTTAATGACAGTGCATCTGCAACAGTTTTGATATATTTGGTATAACAAAATTTCATTAGGCGGTGAAACCTTTAAATACAGATGAATCTGACTTGACAAAATCATCTTGTTGGTGGTTGTTACTGAGATTTATCTAGGTTTTGAACTGACAAACTAAACATTAACATGAAGTGCAAACTCTAATATGTGATCTCATATATCAACGCCTTTTAGTCTTTTACTGTTTACTGAATTTTCTCACTTGCAGGTCCGACAAGGAACTTTTAGGTCCCAATTATGAATACCTTCCAAAAGTTATTTCAGTTTTTGCAGAGGTCAGTGTGAAATCAAAGCTGATCTAGATGCTCGACTGAGTTGTTCATTTGTGATAGACATGAAGATTTTGCAACTGTGATTCTTTTATTTATTCTTGTAAGAAAAACAGTAAAACCTCATGAAATTCTATAAATTGCATTCTGTATTGTTTGTGTTATGTTTTTTAAGTATCAATTTGACTATCAGCTCTCTGTAGCTGCAAATATCTGATAAAAGAACAAGGTAAAATATTATCAGAGTAGAGTAGAAAAAACCAACTATGTAGAAATACTGTTCAAGGATCTAACTTTAAATAACATTCACTTCTTTTACTTCCCTTGTCCTTTAAATTAATTTGCCAATATGATTGTCTCACTGTATCGTGGAATGTGGCGTTTATCAAACTAAATTTTATGTTTATGGAAACAATCAGTAACTGTCTGTTACTTCTGTAGGTTTTGTGTTCTGAAAAGGAACTTGCTACAGAAGAAACTGCAAATCGTATGATTGATGCATTGAGGCATCTTCAGCAAACACTACCAATAGTCACCATGGAATCAGCATGGTCATATATTTTGCCTCGGGAGGAGATGGAATTGAAATCCATTATGTCACCTGATGGAATTGAAATTCAATGAAACTATTATTACTGTAGTTTTTGTTGGGCAAACATTTTGATGATCGATAATTCTCCAATGTAATATCCTAGCTTATCTTGTGTGATCACTCCAGGGCGATGGTTCAGATGTTGGGTTTGTTATATTTAACAATTTTCACACTCCCCAACTCCAACACGCATACTACTATGTAAGTTGTAACAGTGCGTCATTTCTTCAGCTAAAAGAGTCAAGAGTGTATCAGTTGTTAGCACAAAGGATTGAAGATATTCTGCAACATCTACATGTATTATATACTTCTTAAAAGCACTACTCTTCCAAACATCATTGAAGGAATAATTGGATTATGTTCGTTGTAGTTTTAATGCTTTGTTCGATAAATACTCCCCACTTATCTTTTCAATTCTCAGTTTGAGTACTCTACTTAGCATGTAACTTGGAGCCCATCATATAAACATTCTTTTTATCTTTCTTTGACAATAGTAACATTTTCATGTCAAAGGCAATACTCTTACAGCTTGTTTGGATAGTTGTTGTTATACCATATTTTAGCCAAGTTAAACTAGTGTATAACATTTTTGGAATTCCGGGGTTTTATAATTTAAGAGAGTCAATACCTAATATATTAAGAATTCATACAGCTTGTATCATTAGAATTGTGACGTATAAGTAGATATTTGTATTTGCTCCTGAAAACCGTTGTTACCCTAATTTCCAGTTTTAGATTTATGTTTAGGCATGTATCAAGCCTTTAAGTGAACCAACTATATATTTAGCAAGACTCATGCATCAAACTAATCAATCTTACATATCCATGAAATATTGATGTGACATTTCTCCATCTCAAGGCATCTTTCAGCTAAAACAGATCACCAATTCAGTACTATTCCAACTATCAAAAAAGCTCCCATATTTCTGTACATTAGAAACCTATAGTAGGTTTAGTTGATGTTAAGTTTATAAAATGCAGCGTGAACCATAAGATTCTCTTGTACCTACTATAGTCTACATGAAACTAACTTTATATTTGTTGGATGATATATTGTTTTTTAATTTTAGTGAGAAGCATGGGATGTATCCAAATGGCAGATTTTTGGAGGGAAGAAGTACAATAAGTAGTTGAGAAAATGATGAAAGCTTCGTGATTGCAACTTAGTTTTATGGTTGACTAAGTACAAGTTGTCCTAATCCACCAAATATTATGCTATTTTTGTCAAGAACTAGACCACATTTAACTTTTGTTTCTTTTTATATTTGTTGTGCTTCATTTGTATTTTAATAACATCCTATCTAGAATCTTATATTATATGTACTGGCTAGCATGTCTTAGTCATTTTTAAATTTTCTCTTTCTCCCTTTCTTGTGAAGTTGTTAAAATGTTGATTCTAGAAAAGATTTTATAGTTTTTGCTAGTATTATTTTTTACCATCTTTGAAATGAACTCATCTTCTTTATTTTTGAAAACATTTTTGGTTTCCACCGGTTGTCTAGTACTGTTTTGGGCCCGATTAATTCAGATTTACGCCAAAAAATTTTATTTTGAGAGAAAAGCGTTCCTACCGAAAAAGATTCTAGTTTCAAGATTCGAACTGAAACCTTTTGTTAACGATAAATAAGTATTTATCATCCCATCATAATATCTGGTGGTACAATAATTTGTCAAATTAAGATCACTCTTTGTTAAGATAAGCATAGTATATCATTTATGTGCTTTTTGCGGGCACCAATAATGAATGATTCATGGTCTGCAAAAATGACAAAATGTGCCTTTTTAGGATGATGAACAATGCCACCACTTAATGATACTTAAAAATATAATGCCATCATCATTAGTCCTCGAAAATTGAGATAAAGAAAAGAATTTCCAGAGACCCTTTACTAATTTGACATATAGTTGATATGTTAGGTATTTTGATCATCCAAAATACATATTTAAAAGAAAGAATCTAGAAGAGATGAAGGCCAGAAACTAAGGCATCATTTCCCACCACTTTAACCAAAAAGACAGAGAACGTGCATAAGTGTGAGACTTAGAGCATGCTTAGCAAAAAATGCAGCAAACATAATAACAAACTAACAAACACATAAAATAAACAAATAAATATTCTTACATAATTGTGTTTGGTTTGATCATTTATGTTAAACAAGTCATTACCTTCATGACATATTCTCACATCTTTTCTCCCTAACATAAACATTGATATTTCAGTCAACTAAAAAAAGAACAAATAAATGAAGACAAGGTTCCCATGACTTCAAAAGATTATAAAACCACCTTAACATTGTCTCTTTTGTTTAAAGAACTCTATCATTCCTCTCCTCTTAGTCATTTTCTCATACTTTCCCTCCCCAGACTCCGCTCGTGAGATTATACTGGATTTGTTGTTGTTGTTTCAACGTATATCTTTGCCTTATTTTCGATGGAACAAGAACAAGTATATGATTCTACCAAAGAATGGAGTGCTAAAGTTCAAAAACAAAGGAAATTTGTAGGGGTAAGACAAAGGCCTTCAGGAAAATGGGTTGCAGAGATCAAGAACACAACACAGAAGATCAGAATGTGGCTCGGAACGTTTGATACAGCTGAGGAAGCTGCACAGGCTTATGATGAGGCTGCTTGTCTTCTCCGAGGATCAAATACTCGAACGAATTTCCATAACCATGCCCCTGTCAATCCTGCTCTATCTATGAAAATTAGAAATCTCCTCAATCAGAAGAAAAGCCTCAACAATATCAAGTCCAAAACTACTCCTACAAATCACACTACTACTACAACTACTGCTACAACTAGTACTACTGTTTCTTCTTGTAAAAGTTCTCTTAGTGTTAGCAATAGTTTTAGTTTTAACACTGATACTAGTGGCTCAAGAAGTCATCAAGAAACTCAGATATTTGATGATGCATATAAACCAGATTTGAGCAACTTTATGGCTGGATTTGATCAAATGGGGTCTTCTAATTTTAATCATTCTTCAACATTTTCAACTGATTTTGATAGGATTATTTTGGACGAAAAAGTTGGTAATTTTCAGGTGCCAAAAGGAGGGGTTGTTCATGAGATAGGAAATGTTGAAGATCAGATACCTGAATTTGAACATATGAAAGTTGAGAGGCAAATATCAGCATCACTATATGCTATGAATGGAGTGAATGAGTATTGGGAGAATATTCATGATTGTAATATTGATGCTGCTTTTTGGGATCTTCCTATGCTCTACCAAATGTTTTGTCCAAGTTAGGAATTGTTTTAGGCATTTTCTAAATCTCTTATCAAGAGAAGTTATCTTCAAATTCAAGCTACTTAATGAGTTTCAAAGATATATTGAGAACCTTTTTAGATTCTTGAGAATTGGATCAAATTAAACCTTAAGGCTTCATAATGAAAGTTGTAGGCAGAGGCGGATCCATGATTTAGATTTTATGAGTTCAACTTTTAAGATTTTTAGCATTCAACCCATTGTATTTTTAAAGTTATGGGTTCAGACCTATCGTTTGTTGCAATTTTAATGAAGTTTTATACAATAATTTATGTTCCGCATCGAAATTACTGGGTTCGGATGAACCCAGCGGCCAAACTCAACATCCGCCCCTGGTTGTAGGTGTAGTTTCTTGGGCTTTTTGTGAGTTCCTAATTTTTTCCATAGTAGATGGGAATAGTTGGGAGGGGGAAATGTGCGATTGGCAGGAGGAATTGTGATGACCCAAAAGGTCATCACTTGTGTTGCAAGTGCATTCAGTGTTCTGAAGCCTAAAAACCTCCCTTTTACCCTACCTTGATTTGCGTGCGTGGTCCGGACCTATATCCGGAAAGTCTTCTATGTGAAAACATGAGAAATAGAAATTTTATAGTTAAAAATTTGATTATGATTGACTTTGGTCAACATTTTTAGCAAACGGACCCGGATCCTTGTTCCGACGATCCCGGGAGGTCTGCAGTAAAATATGGGACTTGGGCGTATGCTCGGAAATGAATTCCGAGGTCACAAGCCTTAGAAATCAATTTTTGAAAGAAATTATTTTACTCAATTATCTAAGAAATAAAGAAAAGAATTAATGTTTGAAACCATTGTTATTAGGCTCGTATTTTGATTCTGGAGCCCGGTACAAACTTGTTATAGTATTTGAAAGATAACTGTGAAATTTGGTGAAAAACGAAGTTCATTTGACGTGAGTTGGACTTCAGGTTGAAGAGTTATGAACTTTGAGAGTTCTTGATGAAAATATTGAGTTTTGAGGTTTAATTCATGATGTTGCATGTTAGTTTGATGATGGTATCGTACGAATAAATCCGTAGGATGTTTTTGAGGTTATGTGTATACTTGGTTTGGAGTTCTGAGGGCTCGGGTGAGTTTCGGGATGTCACAGACTTAAAACCAGATGTTGCAGGTTCAGAGAAGTTGCAGGTCTCTGAACCCGCCAGTGCAGTCTGCACGAAAACGTGTGCGACCGCGGAAGGGGCCAGTGCGGTCCGCAGTCGGCCTTGTGCGGTGCGCGGTGGAGAGTTGTGCGGCCGCAATCGACTTTGTGCGGTCCGTACAGGGGCACTGGACTGCAGCACCCTCAGGAAGGACTGTGCGGCCGCAGTCCATTTTGTGCGGTCCGCAGGGGGGGGGGGGGGTCTGAGAGGGGTATAAACAAACGGGATTTTCAGTTATTTCATTTTTCAAAATTCCAAAAACATACGAGGCGATTTTTCAAACAACTGTTTTTCTCCAAAACGTTGGTAAGTGATTTCTAACACATTTTTTTCACTCCTTAACATCTTTTAACATGATTTCAACTCAAAATCAATGATTTTCATGGGGGAAATTGAGTGTTTTTGGTAGAACCTAAGTTTTTTAAAAAATTGGGGATTTGGACCTTGATTTGAGGTCTGATTTCAAAACAAATTATATATTTGAGTTCGTGGGGGAATGGGTAATCGGGTTTTGACCATGTGGATCCGGGGGCGATTCTGACCTTTTGGGTAAATCTTTGGAAAACTCATTTCCATGCATTTAAATTGATTCATTTAGCATTTATTAATGTAATTAAATAACTTGTGGCTAGATACGAGCGAATTAGCGGTGGAATCAAGGGGTAAAGCTATAATTGAATCTTGAGTTGTGTTCGAGGCATCAAGATAAGTGTTCGGTCTAACCTTAACTTGACGGATTAGGAGTTGAGTCCTATTTGCTAATTGCTTCTTGTTGAGTACGACGTATAGGCATGGTCATGAGTATCTATACGCTGGTGTCGAGCATGACCGTGAGTCCTAAATTGATACTTGTTGTATTCTTAAATGATACTACAAATGCTATAGTGGGTGAATTCTTAATAATGAGTAAAGACTTAAGTTTATTTTCGTGGAAGATACTTATGATTGAGAACTGGTGATAATTGATCTGAGTAGGAGTTGAGTTAAGATTGATTATAGTTGATTCTCCCTTGTCGGGACGTATATACTTGTATTGTTGAATTCCCTTGCCGGGATAGTGTAGTTTATAGTTGACCCCTTGATGGGACTGTTATTATGATCACTGTCGACTGTATATTTGGGACGGGTTGCGCGCCTCAACATTATTATATATATTGATGGATCGGGTTGCACGCCGTAACAGATATTATATTGGATCGGGTTGCACGCCGCAATAGATATTATATTGGATCGGGTTGCACGCCGCAAAAGATACTATATTAGATTGGGTTGCACGCTGCAACAGTTATATATGTAGATTGGGTTGCACGCCGCAACAATATTAAAAGACAAGGGATCGGGTTGCGCGCCGCAACAGTATTGTTATTGTATTGTTGTAGACATTGAATTGTCCTTTCATATATTATTAAGTTGTTGTTGGATTTGATATGTTCCCCGAAGCACGTACCCCCTCCCCTTTAAACTGCTTATTCCTGTTTATTTCCGCCATATGTTATATAACTGCACAAGTTTATCTGGAGTCCGGTCCTAGCCTCGTCACTACCTCGCCTGGGTTAGGCCAGACACTTACCAGTACATGGGGTCGGTTGTGTTGATGCTACACTTTGCACTCTGTGCAGATACCGAAGCAGCACTTGGTCAGCAGCAGTAGGGGAGCCAGCCTTCGATCCACTGAGACTCCGAAGTAGCCCTGCAGGTGTCCGCAGGCCCAGCGTCTCCTCTATCTTTTATTATGTTCTGTTATCATTTAAATCAGAGACAGACAATGATCTTTCTTTTAGACATTTATACGTAATCATAGTTAGTCCGTCAATGTTGTGACACCAGTTTCTCGGTAGAGGCATATGTTGATTTACGTATTATTTTGGTTTATTTTGTTTAAGTCTTCTATTTAATCTCATATTCTGCTATTATTTAGTTTTTTTCACTTGTTAATATAAGTTATAAAAAGGATTAAAACAAAAGAGTTAAAGATTCATAATTGTGTGGCATGCCTAGCTTCTACGAGTAGGCGCCATCACGACTCCCGAGAGTGGGGAAAATCCAGGTCGTGACAAATTGGTATCACAACTCTAGGTTACATAGGTTTCACAATTCACGGACAAGCTCAGTAGAGTCTGAGAGATCGGTACGGAGATTTCTGTATTTATCCCCCAGAGGCTACAGAGTTAGGAAAACTTCACATTTGTTCTTTCCTGTAGTGCGGTTTTTTTCTCAATGCTAATTGAATTTCTACTCTATTCTTTCGCAGATGGAGAGAACACGTGCTTTCTTATCTACCGCTCAGCATCCCGAACCCCCAGCAGCAGCTCCCACGAGGGGCAGAGGGAGAGGCCGAGGCCATGCTAGAGGCCGAGGTAGGGGTAGAGCTCAGCCTCGAGTAGTAGCACTAGTGACGGAGCCTCAGGTTGATTTTGATGAGGAGGTTCTGGCCCCAGCAGTTCTGGTGGGTCCAGCTCAAGTCTTAGAGGGGTTTATTGCTACCCCAGTTCTTCAGGATGCTCTGGTCCGATTAGTGGGTCTCATGGAGAGTGTCACCCGAGCAGGCTTGCTTCCTATAACACCAGCCATCTCTCAGGCTGGAGGAGGGGCCGAGACTCCTGCTACCCGCACTCCGGAGCAGGTAGCTCCCCAGATTCAAACTCTAGTGGTTCAGCTAGTTGGAGCAGTTCAGCCGGGTGTGATAGCTCAGACCGGTGATGGAGCAGTTATGTCTGCCGATGCTTTGTGGAGGCTGGATAGGTTCACCAAGTTCTTCACTTCTACTTTCAGCGGTGCATCTACTGAGGATCCCCAGGATTATCTAGACAGCTGCCACGAGGTTCTCAGGAACATGGGTATTGTTGAGACCAATGGGGTCGATTTTGCTATATTTCGCTTGTTTGGATCCGCCAAGACTTGGTGGAGAGATTATTGCTTGGCTAGGCCAACCGGATTGCCAGCATTGACTTGGGAGCAGTTTGCACAGCTATTTCTGGAGAAGTTTCTTCCTATACTCAGAGAGAGGCCTATCGGAGGCAGTTTGAGCGTCTCCATCAGGGTTCCATGACTGTTACCCAGTATGAGACCAGATTTATCGACTTGGCTCGCCATGCTCTTGTCATACTTCCTACCGAGGGAGAGAGGGTGAGGAGATTTATTGACGGTCTTATTCAGTCGTTTCATCTTCAGATGGCTAGGGAGGCTGGGAGTGAGGTTACTTTTCAGGAGGCGGCCAATGTGGCCCGTAGAGTTGAGATGGTCCTGTCATAGGGAGGTGGTCATGGGTCGGACAAGAGGCCCCGTCATTCGGGTAGATTCAGTGGTGCCTCGTCTGGAGGCAGAGATTTATATGGTAGAAGTCATCCTCCTAGGCCCTTTCAGTCAGCTCTTCAGGCTTCTCACGGTGCTTTAGGTAACCGTGGTCCGCATAATGCTGCTCGGTGGGCCGGGCCTGAACCGGACCGGACCGGCCCCGCGGTCCTNCCGCAAATGCAGTATTCTGATCAACAGTCCTACAGTGCACTACTAGCTCCTATCAGTGCACCGCCGCTCCAGAGTTTTTGGGGTGGTCATTCGGGTCGCCAGGGTTTCCTCAGCCACAGCACTCAGGTGGATATTTTGAGTGTGGTAAGTATGGTCATATCAAGAGGACTTGTCTGAGGTTAGTGGGTATTCAATCGCAGCAGCAGGGTTCCCGCGCTATGGTTCAGGCACCAGGTGTTCCACAGCCAGCCCAACCAACTAGAAGTGGGGGTAGAGGTGCTAGAGGTGGAGGTAGAGGATTTAGAGGTGGAGCTCAGGCCGCTAAGAGTGGAGGCTAGCCAGCTGCAGGTCATCCCA